ATATAGGTGGAATATTGCTGAGTGCGGCGTAAAACTAAACTCACTCACTGACTGTATGTGATATAATGCACACTTAGAAATAGAGCTCTTGGATATTGTGGTGAAAATATATCCCTTCTACGTGTAGACACGTTATCAATTTCACGAAGAATAAAAGCACAATAGATGTAACCGATGTATGGATAACTGAACACACTGTATATGTACAAATCGCGCAGTTTGTAAATAGAAATATTTGAGCATATTTTAATGTAGTCACGAGAATAGCTGGTGGTGGTATCTTTTGACCACTGTGAATGTTCATCTGTTTCATTGTGGCTATTCTTGACCCCTATAACATGACCACTTTCAAAGTTCCACTGGTAGTTAGAGACCTACTGGTAAATATAATGGCGTCTGCTTAATCCGGATATGGTGACTCTGGAAACATTTAGGGCATCTTACATATTGCACAGGCCACTGCCCTTGGTCACTGTATCTATGACACTGGAAATCTATTAATTTACTTCAACCTTACGATCGAACCACCCAGAGCCCCACAATATTAGTATGTGTTAGTTATGATGTGATCGGGGGTGGGATTCTTGGCTACGGCTTGCTGCTATCGTATTAACACACATACCGTGTGAAGTCTAGTTTACTGGAATGCAGAAAGTTATTTCTTGCAATCACAATACAAAGAATGCTTAAAATACATTTATTCACGCATATGGTACATGAGAGAAAGAGAACAGAAAATACAGTTCAGTATATGCACGGTCATTATTACAAACATAGCAAATCAGAGTATTTACAAGAGAAATTGACTGCATTGTTATTTTCAACTGGGCATTTTGGCGAGTGCATTGGTGATATAGTCGTGTCCATGAGATGTGCCAGAAGCCTGTTTGCTCCCGTGTCAGACACACCCTGATAATGTTGACTGGTTTGTCCACAGGGGGATGTAACACAAAATAGTGGCATCAAGGAATATAGTGTCACTCACGGGGTCTTAACACTATATAAAAGGACTGGGGTGTAACGAGGTTAACTCATTAACATTTTAGGCGAACTCATTAATGCTCACTGTAGATATCCCATTAAAATTGTACACGCATTTCAAGCAAATATGTTTTCCTTCAACATGAGACATATAACACAAAAATGAACAGTACAGGGACCCAGGGTCTTTGTGAACATCCCTCTTCAGAATTTGTACCCTTGTTTTGTTAATGTCATCGTATACTCAAACATGCGGAAATGATTGTAACTGCCAGCGCGCTAATCGCCATTCTTTCAAAGACTGATACACTTAACTGCCATAATGAGTTTTATTTATTCTTTATAATCAGGCCTGCGTGGTGCCCTTTCACCATTGACGATTTTGGCTTTGCCCTCTGAAAAGAGCTAGCGATCTGATTGGCTATGAATAGAATATGTCCCATCAGATCGTTGATAGATGAAAAGAGCTTCGTTACTCCCCTTTCCGTTTATATAGTGTCAAGATCCCGTCAGTGACAATATATAGCTTGATGCCATTTTCTCGGCTTACAAGCTCCTGTGGGTTTCTCAACACTATCAAACTATCCACATGTATCAACAAAGTGCTTAACGTCTAAGAAATGCATGACGGTCGGCTGCTTCTACGCTCTCACTTCCAACACTACTGTTAAAAACAGCGTAAAGCACAACCGACTCAATAATCAATATGATAAGAACCATGTCACATAAACCTGATACAACGTTCTAGTCACAAATGTACCCTGCGAAAGTCAGTGAATAATAGTTTGAACATACGATGACTTAGACGTTCCATGTTGGTAGCTTTACCAAGTTGAAAACGGTTCTTTCACTTTCACTTCTATTCTCTATCGAAATGTTGTTACATATGTACGATATTCCCACCACAGATCTATTAATTAAAAAGCAGTACAGGGAAATAGCGGTACAGGACCGCAAAGGAAAAAAATAATGATAAATTAAGAAGGAAAATACCAAAAAGAGGAGGTGCACTCTGCATTTGAGTATATATAGACACTCTTTGTTTGCATTGTCTTTTTTTTCACGGTCCCAGTAGTCCATCCAACCCCAAGACAGGTATACGGAAAACAAAAATGGAGTCCAGCGCAGAAAAACAACAACAGTATGTTGATGGGGTTTTGGACCACTCTCATGTTGTTTCTACACCGGCGAAGGTGCACTCGAATTAGAGATACATAGGTACATAGCTATAGGAATGCCTGGAACCAAGCTATCGCATGACGCCTATGCCGAGATCACATTGGGTCGTTTGTCCCTTCGGGAAGCGAAGAGGAAGTACTACATATCGCAAACCCGATACACACAAATCTGAGGTGGTATAGAGTCCGAGACAACTTCCGACATGGTCTTCAAGAGACTGCTGGAGAAGTGTCCCCACGTGTTGCTTTCTGACCGAGAGAAACAAATCCTGGAGAAATCGGGACACACCTTCTATGAGCGCTACCAGATCCCTCACCAGTTTCTCGAACTGTATTTGCTGTGCTATCGCCAATTCGTAGAAGACGGCAAAATAGTCGATTTCGTGTACATCTAGCCATCCAACCAATTTTTGCCCCTTGGCAGGCAAACTCCGAATCATTCTCACCACTGACTGCTGCCCGGAACCAAAGGACAGACACAACCGATGCACCGACTGCCTCGCCGCCATATCGTAACTCCCCACTCTCTTCGAGCAAGACAACTCTACGTGCAAGTGCAGCGCCATTGACCACTGTGTCGACAGCAAGAAATGCGTTCTGTGGAAAAACAAAGCGATAGAACACCACCCCAGGAGGATCGACTCCCACTCGAGGTTCCGGAAGAAATCGCGAACCCCTACTGTCTCTTTAACATAGAAAACCTGTACGACGACAACTGCCTCTTGTGGTGCCTGCGCTACCAACGCCTCGTCGACAAGTTGTAGGTCAATTGTCCATGCAGCGAGAAAGTGTCTTGTATCTTCCGGCAACTATTTGGACAAGCAGATCCACCACGAGGATGGGCACGGCATACTACCCCCTTGCCCAACTAAGGTGAGTCCAAGGATATAGAAGTAGCAGCCCCACCGTGCAATGAACACCGGAAAGCCGCAGAAATTCCGGAAGGAAACTACATCTGCAAAAAGTTTGCCGTAGCGAAATACGAAGGGAAGTACCGACTGTTGCTGCTACTTGATTCGCCGTTGACTGGAGAAAAAACGATTCCAGTCTTCGGCTACAAGATATGAGAAAAGGTTCGAAACGCCGGCAGAATAAAACGCCTACGGTTGGTTGTTGGACTGTTTCATTGCAGGCTCGGCAAAATCTGCCACTCGCCCATATGAAAAAGGAAAGACAATTGAGAAGTCGAATTGCTGCTGCTCCCAGAGACCGAGCAAACAAGCGCTGGACGGGGAAAAAAATGGAGTGCCAAAAAGACGATGTTGTAGACTATGGATGGATCTGTCGACAAAGCCCATCTCTAGGGCAAAACGCGACTTCTCTAGTGCATTTGGTGGGGGTCCCTATGTTTTTGCGTCGTCTCGTGGACCTGTCTGTGGACCGGTGTGCTGCTATGCTTCCAGGTCTTGTAGATGACATTCCAGACAAACACGGCGACTGTCGAAAGGAAGGTCCACTTTTAGGTCGATTCTACCGTCTGCAGCACCTTCTGGATATCCGGACGCGTCTCTTCCTCCTGGAGGAGGGGAGTTCTTCGTCGTTATCGTCGTTGACCAACACATTCGTTTTTTGCTGCACACAAGCCGACAATGTCTTCGTGGTTTGCTGCGCACGAGCTGACACTATCGTCGCGTTTTGCTCCACCCGAACCTTGATGTTCCCCAGATGATAGCAGAAGTCCTGGACGGTCGACGGAGCTGTCTTGCTAGCGGGCAAGATGGTCGCCGGTTTTGTGATTGTGCTGGATGTCGATGCTATCTCACCGGCGGGCAAGAGGGTCTTCAAAGTTTCTGAAGCAGTAGCAGGCTCTCGCCATAGCTCGTACAGCCTTGTGGACCTAATACTGAAGCGCTTTTTGACCTCGTTTGCTGGAAGCACACCGCGAAAGGAGCGTATTTCTTGGATCTGGTCCAAAGACAAATCGTTTGTTGGAGCCATGGTCGGTATTTTTCCTGGGTAAATATATTCCATACGTTCCATATGTCTATATGGAAATCCAATCCTCTCCTGATCCTCTCCCAGGAATTCCAAGAAATATGCTCCCTTTGTGGTGTGCTTCCAGCAAACGAGGTCAAAAGTGCTTCGGTATTGGGTCCACAAGGCTATACGATGTATGGCGGGAGCTTGCTGCTGCTGCAGCATGCAGAACCTTCGATGACCCTGTTGCCCGCTGGCGAGATAGATCCGATGTCCAGCACAATCGTATTGCCTGCTGCCGCAAAACCGGTGACCATCTTGCCCGCTAGTGAGACAGCTCCGTCGACCATCCAGGACTTCTGCTATCGTCTGGGGAAGATCGAGGCTCATGCAGAGCAAAACGTGACGATGGTGTCGGCTCATGCGGAGCAAACCGCGAAGACATTGTCGGCTCGTGTGCAGCCAATGTCTACAACATCGTCTTTTTGGCACTCCATATTTTTTCCCGTCCAGCGCTTGTTTACTCGGCCTCTGGGAGCAGCAGCAATTCGACTTCTCGATCTTCTTTCCTTTTCGATATGGGCGAGTGGCAGATTCTGCCAAGCCTGCAACGAAACGGTCCTCCAACCAACCGTAGGCGTTTTATTCCGCTGGCGTTTCAAACCTTTTCTCGTAACTTGTAGCCGAAGACCGTAATCGTTTTTTCCCCAGTCGACGGCAAATCAAAATCAAAGAGTTAAAAACGGGTAGCTAGTTTGAGTTTTCAAAATATCGGTAGAACCCGCGAAATACGAGGGTGATGTTTGGCTACAGAGACTTCCATCGATAAATGATGACTATAGATAACTAGATGGCCAAATAAAATGCAGTCATTACATACAATTATTATTATTATTATTATTATTATTTCAATGTAGAGATGAACTGGATGCAACATTGATAACTTTGAATACCCTTTGGAAACTGTAGGTGGGAATCTTACTATATCGAATAGCCTTCATAAAATATATGCTTGAATATCGATTTTTTTCCCGAATTATGTATCGTGTTTCAAAACAGGCTGTGGGTATGTTTCTTCACAGGGCAGACAACTCAGTTTTCTTGTCGGTTTTCCCTGTCAGTTCAATTGGTTCATCAGTGCGTTTATCGTCACCTTGTAACTTGACAACAATGAAGGCGATAGAGAAGAAGAACATGCTAGCAACCCTGAAGGAGAAATCCGCGCCGGTCAGTCTGAACCGCAGAGATTCCAGGTCGTACTGCTCACACGCACCTCTTACCCCGCATGATCTCTCCCAAATAAGGCATGTACTGTCGATGAGGTAACCGAACATAATTGGAGCAGGAATTAAAACTGCAACAGCAACAACACAGTAGTTCATGATTCAATGTGAGGCATGTCGACACGTCTTCAGAAATAACCCTTTTTCATAAATATTTAACTCACTTCTCACTATCTGGTAGCAATACTCTGATAAAAAACAGTTCGGTCCATGCAGTAGTAATGGCACTGTGTACGTACCTCTGGTCCCCTGTATGGTGATATACCTTCAGTTCTTGGCGATCTATTGCCTGTTTCTTTGTTGTATTGTCATCAATAGTTAAACTGTTTTAGATCTAATTACTAGTTTTAAATTTATATCTGTGATAGTTTAGTTGTTTTACTGTCCTTCGTTGACAGGTGTTTATAATTGACTTTTAATTATCATAAATCTATAACTTAATTTAGCCACGTCATGGCTGAATATATCCGATGTGACTTTAAATATTAATTCACTCACTCTGATAAAAACAGCATTTAACATGATAGGCGATATTTGTGTGATTTGCGCGGGCCTGGTCTATGCTATTTTATGCCATGTTAATTAGAAGTATCACATCAACATCATGGCGCCCTGCTAATAATCAAGTCTGGTTCTGAAAACCAATGATCGAGAGTACGAGCAGTGCTTTGTGTCTTTCAGTCACGACGACACAGCAACAGTTACACACTGCAGTACGGAATGATCAAAACTGTTTTCCTGCTCAAGGGCGAGTGGGTCCTGGAAACGCCATAACCTTTTCTGAATCCCATGGGCTTTCCCTACATTGAAACGAGCTAAATCTACAAGAGAACGGTCGATACCGACAAGGTCTTAAACATTGAAAAGAAATGACAATAAAGCCTGATGCGAATGTAGTTACTTTAAAGGGACATACATGATAAGTTCGTTACAAACAAAATCTGGTTTGAAGTTTCTGAATGTGTTTGCAGTATTATCGATATTTTGCGTGGCCTGATTTCTATATATACTAGGCACATAAAGAAACTGTGCATACAAAAATTTAAATCTAAATTTATCAAATCTGTGTAGACACATAAGGATTTAAACTCAGAGATTAGTGACATGTATCCAACATGCAAGCACGTGCCACGTTCCGTGACGTCAGTGGGTTCGTCCTTGAGACGTGCAATACGTTGTTGCACGTGCATTCCGGGAAAGAGACACAGAGCAAATGAATGCCACACAATACTGTCACTTTGGAAAGCTCAACCCCTGCCTCTATGCGTCGTCGATGCACTGCTGTTCTCAATGCCGATGGTGGACATACCTGTTATTGAGCTTGTGACATGGTTGTTTGACCCCTGTCCCGCTTGTTGACTCGTGACGCCATTGTGATTGACTTTTCAATTGAAATTCTCCCGACTTGTTATGGTCTCATGATCCCTCCATTAAAGTTTATATGTACCTTTGACATTGTTATCGTACTTATCAACTGGGATAGTATTTTGACAATGCACAGTTTCTTTATGTGGCTAGTATATATGGTGTTGACTACAGTACAAATACATTGGATAGCTGTTATACATACCGAACAGGGATGCCATAAACGAAAACAACCCAAACACCATCGACTTGTCCTTGTCCTCTACGCTCCTGTATAAACACACAAAGGTATATTAGTAATGGCGCCACAAATAGCATAAGCTTTGTTTGTATTAATATTTTATTCAATGGGGACAGACTCTCTCGGACTTGATGGAGTTCGAAAACGGAAACCGTGTAACAATTTATTACAGAGTTATGGCCCTTGTCATGGGTTTCTTGACTTTGTACATGCTATACCCAATGGGAACAGATTTTCTCAGTAACCGTTATAAATGTTATAGTGCAAATATTTCATCAATATTTCACACATAATAACTATAATATTCAATATGTATATGAATTCACAAGTGTACCTATATTGGAATTTTTCTTCCACAAACGAGAGTAACTCACTTAGGTTGTAAAAAACATGCCGCCAGACATAGACACACTGTAGACAATAGATGACTGTTTCCACTACAGTTACAGGCTGCATGTTTTTACAACGTAAGTGAGTTATATGTGTGAAATATTGATGAAATATGTGTACTATACTGACTGAGTTTGGTTTTACGCCGCTTTTAGCAATATTCCAGCAACATCACGGCGGGGGACACCAGAAATGGGCTTCACACATTTTACCATTGTGGGGATTCGAACCCGGGTCTTCGGCGTGACGAGCGAACGCTTTAACCACTAGGCTACCTCACAGCCCCTATTTGCACTATAACATACATAGGGAAACCAAGTGTGGTATGTGTTGTCAGGACATGAATGTCGTGGTGGAATAAAAAAAAAAAAACAGGAACCAAATAGGAACAGAACACTGTGATGGGAGATGGTGAAGAGCATTTCTGCTTATTTGATATGTCACGTATACCAAGCTCTTTGATCAAACAATTTGTGCAGTGATAAATGATTTCAGGCCTTGTCAGTGGGAATAACGCCCAATTGGAAACATGAGAGCCCTTATGTAAATATGAGAATTTGAGTCTTTAAACGTTCGTGACCATATGTTTATTACATACTTCAAATTAGACAGCACTTCTGTAAGCTGTTTTCTTTGGAATGCCAATATATCATTGTACATTGTTATTTTTGAAACAATCTCATAATACCATACCCAGTTTATTTACGCGGTTATTTTCATCAAAGTACCTCCTTCCTTTCGCGAAGTTTGATTGTCATATTTTCACGCATAACATTCATCGAGAGGGGGGCGAATCTGTACCGGAATTCCACGAGTAGGTCACGAATGATCCTATGCGGTGCAACAACAACTTTAAATGTTCTCTCACACATACATTAAAGTGGGAGAAAATTTCACTGGACAATTAAAGTGAGGGAGTGCGTTCATATTTAACGTCACATCGGCAGTATTACAGCCATATCGTGACGAGAACAATTTAATTTATATCAACATTAAAAGCAATAAATTGAGAACAAAAAGCTGTCATCGAAGGACAGTAAAACTACTAGAGTATCACAGCTCTTAATCGTAACTTAGTACGAGAACAATTTAATTTATATCAACATTAAAAGCAATAAATTGAGAACAAAAAGCTGTCATCGAAGGACAGTAAAACTACTAGAGTATCACAGCTCTTAATCGTAACTTAGTACGCTATCATAAAAAAAATATCCCTATAGACAACAATATAATACAATACGGGCACTAGAACACCAGCAACTGAAGGATGATCACCATACTAGGGACCATGGGGACCTACAGTACTTTGGCTGCCTGCATGGACCCAAGCTGGATTTATATCAACCCGTCAGCAGATGGCGATTTTGGTCAAATTTAGCCAAACTTAAAATGACAAAAATGCTACATTTAAAAATCTGGTAAACTTTAATTGCCTTTGAATGTTTCGGGACTTAAGCACCCTCTGAGGAGGACAATAATTTTACAATACTTTAATCCCCCTTGAGGGTACAGCCACTAACAATTTAAGTTATTAATCTAAACTACCAGTTATTAAAATACATCTATCTACATATTAATCAAAATTCCTCAATTAATCAATTTCATTTAAAAAAACAATAATTAAATGAAAATTCTAGCATGACAATGTGTGATACTCGATTCTGATTGGCTGAGGGCTCAAATACATCTATCTAAATGTTTAATTTAGCGGTCTTAAATTAACGATAAAGGACCGCAAAATTGAAAACAGAGTATCTTTATCTTCTAATTAACAGTTGTAAATTGATCCTTAACGGTTTTCACATTGAAAAATTTATCCCTCATGATGGAGAATTCACCACAGTCAAGCAGGACATGCTTGATCGTGACTCTCTCATCACAAGGCATACAAAACGGAGGTTCTTCACCTTTTAACAGGTACTTGTGAGTATAACGCGTATGGCCAATGCGACATCGTCGCATAATGACCTCCTCAAATCTGGACTGACAACCCAAATATCTGCAACCAATATAAGGTTTTAGTTCATGTAATTTATTGATACCTACTTGGGTGTCCCACATAATCGGCCTCTGTGTTACCACAGATTCCAACATGGCTGGGTAACCAACAGAGGACGATGTCGTATTGGCCAGTAGCAAGATCATTATATGATTCAATAATTTCTATTAAAATAGGATGTTTGGAAGAAAGATTGTTATTAGCCTGAATGCAAGAAAGAGAGTCTGAAAAGATGATGTATTGACATACTTAGGGTGCTTATTAATATATTTTAAGGCTATTGATATGGCATTTGCTTCTTCTGTGAGTTTAGAGCTATTATCGGGCAATCGAAAAGATATTGTTTGGGATCCATTGACAGTGGCACAAGCCACTGCTCCACCACACTTGGACCCATCTGTAAATAAGGATTTATATGTAGTACAATTAAAGAGTGATACAGCTACACCTGAATACACCCCGACCAAACGCTGTGCAAGAGGGCTGAGATGAACAATGAGGGCGTCATCTACAATGAGTGAGTTAGTGAGTTAAAATTTACTTTGGCAATATTTCAGCCATATCGTGACTAAAACAACATACAGATTAACAATAATAAAAGATAGAGTATAAAATCCTGTCAACGATGGACAGTAAAACAACTAGAATATCACAGACACAAATGTAAAACTAGTTATTAAATCTAAAACATTTTTAACTATAGAGGACAACACAATATAAAAATAGGCTATAGATCACCAACAACTGAAGGTAGGTCACCATACTAGGAACCATGGGAACTTACAGTACCTTTCCTACCTGCATGGACCCTAGTTGGATTTACAACATGCCTTCAGCTGTTGGCGATTGTACGAAATGTTAGCCAAAATTAAAATAACCAAAATACTACGTTTAAAATCCTGGTAAGTTTAAATTGACTTTGAAAGTTTTGGGGCTTATGTACCCTCTCAGGAGGTCAATAATTTTACGATACTTCAACCTCCTTTAAGGGTACAGCCACTGATAACCCCAGTTACTAATCCAAACTACCAATAATAAAATATACATCTATTTAAAAACTATTCATCAAGATTTATCTAATGAGTCTATTTCTTTTAAAAATTCAATAATTAAATGAAAATTAACAGTACTAAAAAGATCCTTAACAGTTTTTACATTGGACAACTTATGCCTTGTAATGGAATATTCAACAGTCAAGCAAGACATGCTTGACCGTGATTCTTTCATCACAAGGGATACAAAACGGAGGATCCTCGCCTTTAAACAAATATTCATGAGTATACCTTGTATGGCCAATGCGACATCGTCGCATGATGACCTCTTCAAATCTGGACTGACAACCCAAGTAGGTGTAACCGTTAGTTGGTGTTGTTACATGTAATGTATTGATACCTACCTGGGTGTCCCACTTCTTTTGCATTGTATGTTCTAATGCTAGCTTTGCAATCATAGTATGGAATAAGAAGTGGTGTCACAGATTTGTTGAGTACTGCCTTGGCAGCAATTTCGGTTATTGTGTTCCCGGAAATGCCAACGTGGCTCGGTAACCAACAGAAGACGATGTCGTATTGGCCAGTAGCAAGATCATTATATTATTCAATAATTTCGATTAAAAGTGGATGTTTACAAGAAAGATGTTTAATAGCCTGCAGACAAGAAAGAGAGTCTGAATAGATTATATATTGTTTGTATTTAGGGTGTTTTTGAATATATATTTAAGGCTGTTAATGTGGCGTTTGCTTCTGCTGTAAAAATAGAGCTGTTATCTGGTAATCGAGAAGATATTGTTCTGGATCCAATGACAGTGGCACAAGCCACTGCGCCACCATCCTTGCACCCATCTGTAAATAAGGATTTATATGTATTATATTTATTTCTCAATTGACTAAATTCTTGTTACTGTAACTCATTAGTGTCTGATTTTTTAAATGTGGTTAATGTTATGTCAATTGCTCTGCCTCACCAATTGCCAAGTAGGAGAAGAAAGAAGACGGGAAGGAGATATATTTTCCAGCTCAATGCCGGCAGCAGAAATGAATGGTTTAATTCCGTGTCCAAGAGGCGGAACAAGAGAAGAGTTTTTGTTATACAAATCCTCATAGAGATGATTAAAGACACAGTTAAATGCAGGGTTAGAATGGTTAGAATATAGTTTGATAATATATTGTAAAGATAATTTTATATTATACGGTGCTGGGTAAGAGAAGGCTCATCTGCCGCGACGTAGAGACTATCAACTGGAGAAGTTCTAAATGATCCAAGACAATGTCTTAGACCTTGGTGGTGAACAGAATCAAGTAGTTTAAGGTTGCTTTTTGCAGTCTCCGCTATATACGATCGAGCCATAATCAAGTTTAGATCGCACTAATGATCTGTATAAGTGAAGGAGGGTAGTTTGATCCCCTCCCCACTTTGAATTGGAGACAACCTTTAACAAATCGAGTGCCTTCGGGCATTTAGCTTTAAGGGATTTAATGTGTGGCAGGAATGTTAAATGGGAATCGAAATTAGGCCGAAGAATTTGGCCTCCTTTACAACTTTGATTGGAGTGCCATTTAAAAATAGTTCTGGGTCCTTATGAAGCTTATATTTTCTACAAAAATG